CCCTTTTCTTCCCCTTCCTAATTCCCCTATAACCACCGGCACTCCACCTGACCGAGGTTAGGTAAGAACGTCCTGCATTGCAGTCTCCTATGCTGGACCTATGATGTTTTGACACTGCAAAAAATTCCTGGATGTCCGGGCTCCAGGATATTCCCTCTTGCTGAGGCATCGAGCGGGAAGTATAGGTGGCATTTGCGAGACCCTTCTTGTGTAATGCTGTCTCAGGCAGTGCTCCCCTTGCCTTAGAAGGTCTTATTTGAGCTTGCCTCTCCCGTTTGGCCCAGTACCTCCGGGTATCTCTAATCAGATGCCTGGAAATTTAAATCCATGCTATGGTAAATGCACACGCTAAGCTCTGTGCACTTTCTGAAACCCACATAGTGGTAGGTGTGGACGTTGAACACTTTGCGCACTTTCTAAAATCCACAGTAGTGGTAAGTGTGCACGCTGAGCACTTTGCGCACTTTCTAAAATCCACATAAGTGGTAAGTGTGCACGCTAGACTTTGCACACTTTCTGAAATCCTGTACGGTAAGGGTTACGCGTTATAGCTTCGTTCCCTTTCTCTGAGTTGGTTAGACCCCGGTACCTTGGGCTCCACTCAACCAGTGTGTCTCTATTTTTGACACACTTGGAAGTATTGCTCCCCTCACCATTGAGGGTTACTATGAGCATCCTATCGAGCGCCCGGGTTCTCTCCGTGGGCTGTTCTCGTGGTAGTATTAGCAGCGCTCCCCTTTACCAAAGGGTTGCCTATGAGCGCGCTATTCTTTCTGAGTTCGGAGTTCTCTTCTCACGTGAGAGTTGAGTTCTCTGTTTTCACAGAGCACCTGGAACCAGTAGCATCAGGTGAACTAGGCCCTTCCAAATCCGCCTCTCTGGTGCGCTGAGTTTTTGGTTAGCTTGCAGTACACTTACCTCTGATTCTAACGATCATACTGGGCAAGCCCCCTCTCTCGTTGAGAGCTGGGTCTGTGTTCCCTTTAGAACGGTATCCTAAAATCCATGTTCTGGTAAGTGTGCACGTGAAGGCTTTGTGCACATTTCTAAAATCCACATTGTGGTAAGTTTGCACGCTAGTTCTTTGCGTTCTTTTCTAAAATGGTGAGGGCTTTGCGCGGTTGCTTCGTGCCCTTCTTGAGCTGGTTTAAGCCCCGTTCACCTTGGGCACCACTCCACATCCTAGGATACCTACTTTAACAGGGTGTGGCCACTAGAGGTCTGTTGAGACAGTTCCTTTCAGAGCTTATGCAAGAGCAAGCGGTAGCCCTTGTGTGGCAGGTCAAGACTTAGTGTGATACTAGGTTCTTGGTCGTATCCCCTTAAAGGAATCCATTATGATTCCAAGCCTTGAGCTCTACCCCGGGCCCAGGAGTCTGGCCCTAACAGGTAAGTTGGGTATGTAGCCTAGGCCTTTGGCCGTAGGGGATAAAGTCACGGACAGCCGTCTGACGTCCCAGGGGCAACTCACCATGAAAATGGTAAAGTTGGTACTTAGTGTTCACCATGGTTCTGGCCCGCACTCCCCTCAGCATGGTGGTGTGGGTATACTATTCCCCATAGCGACTCCTAGAGGACGCAGTTCGAAGTTCCCTTGAAAGGGAACGACGAGGTGTTCCCCATAGCGACCCCTAGAGGACGCAGTGTCTCATTCCCTACTCAGGGAACCATGGTTACATGAGTAACCTGAGACGTTCTCCTCTTTGTTTTCTTCAGCACTGACCAGGAGAAACAGCCCAGGTGTAAATTATCTGCAGAAACATCCTCCCTGGCGGCTGCCCCTGGCATCAGTGGCTGGGTTTGTGTTACTAATTGGTACAGTGTTTTTGGGGAGGAAAGCTTACAGATCAACCCAGAGAGAAAACAACTCAAAGTAAGTCATTGTCAGTTCACAGAGAGAAATAGCAGCTTGTAAGGCATTTTTTTCTGGCTTCATGTTGTGCTTTATTTCCTACTAGGCAAAATATGGAAGAGGTTAAAACCGGCACTGACACTGAAGACAAGGGAATGGCATACAAGGTAACACATCTATGCAACTTTCTTCTCCATGTCTGCTCTCATTTCCTCTCTTTGCTTTCTGTAGTGGTAAAGTCAATTATTAAAGCTAATTGTCTTTGATTTACGTTTATTCTGTTTAAATTAAGAAAACAGTGGTTGAGGTTTGATTCTTAAATGTATAAATGGGTTGTTGCCTGGGTCTTGAAGATGACTTGCGTCGTGTCTCAGATGGGATTCTGCATGCCTGACCTTGCAGACGTTAACAGTCCTCCCAGCAGTCCAGATAGCATCTATGTTACCATGGTAAGATGTTACCAATAGCAAAATAATAATAATAAACAAAATAATGTGAATATTTGAGTAAATGTTCTGTTAGTGTTAAGTGAGAGTAGATTTTGCATGAGTTTAAACTTCCCTTGTGAAAAAAGAAGTGTGCATAATTGTATTGATGCTTGTTGTGCACTTTAAATCTTAAAACTATATTTTTAGAAACCTGTTTTGCAAATAATAACATTTTAATGGACTAAAAGTCCACTTAAGTGTACTCAATGAAAGACACTTTCATGACTATGTTTCTTAACACACTTCAGTAAATTTTTTTAAAAAAGTGATCATTTTCAGATTAAACATTTAAGTTTGAAGTACATTTTAAATCGTTGTAATAACTATTGTCATGCTTTAAATACGTACACTTATTTTGATGTGCAGACTAGCATGTAAAGTATGCAAAGTTATAATTTGAATATCCAATATTACAAAGTTAGTATGAAAGATACTAAATTGCAGCTTCACCATTACAAATGTGCAAAAACAAACATATTTAAAAAGAGGTGGCATACACGTTTCAACATAAATGTAATTGCAGCTTCACCATTACAAATGTGCAAAAACAAACATATTTAAAAAGAGGTGGCATACACGTTTCAACATAAATTACATTTAAGTATTTAATGCGATATACATTTAATGGACAGCAGAATTATGAAATTACATAAAGATGTAAAGTTCTAAAACTCTCTTTAAACCATCTATATTTATACAAATATTAATGCACCATTGCATTAAATATATTTTTCATAGACTAAGCATATATGCAAATTTCAGTTGATTTAATATCACAAAATAAGGACACGTCATACTATAAAATGTCATGTGGACATTAATTATACACCTTAATTCTATTCTTAATGAATTACATCTTCATTATTGTAAGTGAAATATGTATATGCATACATCCCTTCTTGTGTACACTGATTATTAACCATGTATCACAGTAAAAATTGTTCACAAGATATCAACTGGCTTTTGTTTGTTTGTGTTTGTGTGTATTCTTAATTGCTGGAAGCAGCATAGTTTCCCATTCGCACCAGACACTCCTGTCACAGCTGGATGCAACAGATGTCTTCCCTCTGATTGGCAGCCGAAGGATGAGGAAACCGTATATGTCCGCTGCCACCAAGATTTATCAATCGGATCATGCCGCTTAAAAGATGAGACACAGAATAACTGATTATTTAAATTAGTGAGAGTAATTGTCAGATATGCATTTTATAGTCCCCAAACAGACTGTTTTGTGAACTCTTTTTCAATACTCACCAGCTTACTATACATTATCCCTCATAATAAATCTGTGTCCTTTCCTCATGCACCTCTTTCATCTTTCCTCATGCACCTCTTTCATCATCTACCAGATGTCAACAGTGGTCAATATAGTTTAGTTACAGCACTTCATTGTGAGCTTCAGCCCCCGACTTTTTCTCTATCTTCTCATCAGCATGAAATTGCCACTTCTTCTAACTGTCTCTGAAGAGGCAAACAAAATTTAACTGCAGTGGAGAAGTGGTTCTAAGCATTACACACTTATGTATTCATGCCAACTGTCCTTTGAGATTTGAGGAACCACAGACCATGAGTTTTATGAATCATAATACAACTAGTGGCTAACCATTATTGGCATCAAGGCACACCCTCAATGAATGTGCTCTCGTTTCACTAATCAGATAAATACACTGCCTACTGTATATGCCCATGTGTATCTTTAATAATCATAGTATTTTTCGGCACCATTCTCTTCCCTTATGTGTATTTCCACCTCCTGCTCATCTCTAATGCACTTTGATCTCCATTAGTGAGGAGATGAGGAGAGGTGGTCCTACTGCAAGCTAGAGCCTCATTATTTGGTTTTGCGTCAACGGCCGTTTGGATTTTCTTAGGCTGATTTCTGATTTTTCTCAATTGATGAGAGACATGTAATATAAAGATGCATTCAGATTTTTTTTTACTCATGTAAAATTGATACATATCATATTTTATTTGCTGCTAGTATAGTGTTTTCTAACATGGTTCAATTGAACCCTCAAGTAGGATAAATAATAAGCCACAACCATACTATCAACCAGTTTTCCTACTACACAGACACTGCCAGCCATATTATAGCACAAAATAAAACATTTTACGTGTTTTTTTTGTATAATTGAAACGAAGAAATAGATCTCAAAAGCTTTGCTGGTCTTATTTTCCTCTACGTTTATTGTCATCGACCAAAATGCCTATTTTATTGCATTTTGGGAAAACGCAGTGGGCGTCCGCTTTGAAATTATCCTGTGTTGCATTGATGGTGTTTCTGGGTAAGTAAATAAGCTTGTAATATGGAAAAAATAAAAATAAAGCTCACCATTAAAATGACCATTCGACGCTTTAATTAATTTAAATGTACCAGTCAAACGTGTTAATCTAGCCATGCCTGTGCGTTAAAGGATGCTATCGTCGCCTTGGAATTATAAGCTTCTATCTGACATTTTTGTCAAACTTGAGTTATACACATGTGATGTTTCTTTTGTAATCTGTGTACATTTTGGGACTTTTTTTTTTAGAAAACAAAAAAGGGTCCTATCTACAGAAGTCTATGGAAAGCGAAAACTTTGAAGCTCAATATCTCAAAACTGCTCCGAATGCAGATAACGCCTTATAATTCCAAGGCGGTGAAGTCTAGTTAAAATAATTAACGAACAGTCATAACCAATATGCATGTTTTGGTTATTTTGCAAATAGGTTTTATTGCTACAGCTGTGGCTTCACAAGACCATTTCTGTTAAAGGTTGCATGAGAATTATGTATTTCTACAGAAGGCAGATTACCTACTTTATTGTGTATAATCCATGTGGTATAGTTTACAAATTATAATTAATTCATATTTTCTTAGCAAACTACTGTTAATTGTAGGCTTAACATAAAAGAAACACACCAGAAGAGTGTCACACAGCTGAATTTGGAAGCTTAATTCAAGTTCAGGTGCAAACAATGCAGTTTTTCTAAAAAAACAGTAGAGGGCGTAAAACCCAGTGTTTCGGTGACAGTAGGGGAACGTGACCTGCAATTACAATTAAACCCCAGTTTCACTTATCTGTCTACCTCCAAAAATCATCATACTTCTAATCTTAAATGATTTAATACATTTAGATGATATGGCCATATGTAAAAATCTAAACGTTATTAGACATGTTCTATACATAGATGACAAATCTTCTTAAAAATGCACAGTTAATATCTTCACATGCTCACATTTGATGTAGATTAATTAATTGATATTTTTATTTAAAATAAATGCCACTTTAGTTATTATTATTATTTTTTAACTATTGCAATAGCATTCAGAAATGTGGCTTAAGTGTTCAAATATGTTAAGAATTTTAATGCAAGTTTTTATCTCAAGAGAACTTGGCCTTAGTAACTTCCCTGGGTAAAATGATTTGCATATCGATACCACATTGAGGTATATAGATAAATACTATGGATTTTAGCCATATTTTTTGTGGCATCCTATTCTCCAGGAGATTGAACTTAAAGTCCCCATGAAATCAAAATAAAGTTTTTGGGGTGTTAGTATCAATATGTTAGTCTTAAGGTTATCTATAAGGCAGTGTGTTCCAAAACAGTGAAAAAATTCGCATTTAGAAGATATAAGCGTTCAAAGCTTGCAGTTCGTCACTTCCGCCAAAAGGGCTCAACAATTTTTTTTTTTGACGTCACATCTTCAGCTTCTCATCAAACTTTCTGTCCAATCAAGTGCTCTCTAGAATCCGAAGCGCCCGCCCCCTACACTATAAATTAGACGCTGAAGCCGTGGCTGAAATCGGTCACTTGTCCACAGAATTAGTATTTTCTGTACAGTGAATGGCACGTAGTGCACTATATAGGGGACAGGGAACGATTCAAACAGTATAAATATGCTTTCCATTGAGGAAAAAAATAAGTCTGGTTTTGCGCTGTGTCACGCTAACCACCGCACCGCACACACACTCTATAGCACACTCTATAGACACGATAGCACGGAGTGGATCACATGCGCGAGTCGGCACAGACCACAAAATGTATCGGCGCTATTTGAATTCTACACAGAATGCTATATTTTATAGCAATATGGATGAGATTGTGGCTGGCATACCCTGTCAAATGCGGCTTTACGGAGCTCAACGGCTCTGAACGGCTCTAGCCCAAGCTGTGATATAAACGAACGCTATTGACTATTTTAAAAAGGGGCGGGGCTGCTTGATATGCCCCACCCTATCTTCCTGTTTCAGTTAATATGACAAGAACAGAATTAAATTATACATCTAAAAAAAAAATAATAATAAAAAAAGACCCTTATGACTGTTTTTTTGGTCCAGGGTTCACATATGCAAATGATTTATTTTTCTTCTCACCAATGTTCAGATATTGAAATTGAATAAAACAGCAACTCGTTTTCCGGTTTGGTCAGGTGACATTGAAACGAACATTGACCATTGAAAGAAACATTTTCTTTAAAGCTGCTTTGAAACTATATGCATTGTTATAAGCAGTATACAAATAAACTTGACTTGAAATGAAATCTATGCGATAAACAAGTTAGGTCAAAAATAATCTAAAAGTAATCAAAAAGACGTTAGATCAAATGTAATCTAAATGTAACGTCTCGGTTACGTATGTAACCCTTGTTCCCTGAAGGAGGGAACGGAGATGTCACGTCGGTGACCGACGAATTGGGATCCAATCCACCGCGAGTGTAAACTAAACGAGCCAATGCACATTGGCATGCGATGATTGCATCCAGCTGCCGCTGATCACAGCGTGAGCATAAAAAGGCAGCCAGTGCAACGCATACCAGATTTTCGCTGAGGAGCCGAGCCGGTGACCCGGCCACTCAGCGGTGGTACAGCAGCCGTGGCGACGGGATGTGACGTCTCCGTTCCCTCCTTCAGGGAACGAGGGTTATATACGCAACCGAGGCGTTCCCTTTCAGTCGGTCACTCCGAGTCACATCGGTGACTGACGAATTGGGATCCCTACCAAAGCGCCATGGATGCTGCCCCAGCCAGTGTCCCCATCCCCATCTTTGTGGTGTAGGCCGGGGCTTGCAACAAGAAAACCAGTCACTGTTGTCATAGCACTATCCACTCAGTGAGATTGGATAACACTGGGAAAACGTACCCGTTCCACTTGGAACAGGAACGTTGCGGAAGCCCCATCCTTCCCAAAGGAGGTTTCGGAAGCACTTACACATATGACATCCGTTTAGGTGCATATGGAAGATTAGAGGGGATTGTAACCCTCATGGAAATGGCAGAAGTCTGCCGGGGAAACACGGGTTCTGAGGCTATACCATGGACTTTACACATATGGGAACCAATCAGGCCTCTATATATGGAACCGAGCCCTCTACCGGTTCTTACGGATTCAGGGAGTGAGGGCCTGGTGCCGGACGTTCCGCCACGTCTGGCTGCCGACGGGACGGAGGAGCTCGACAGTGTCTACAGTACGGACACTCTGGAGAAGTTTTAGCAAGCCGACACTAAACCGGGTCCTCTCAGCACCTCTACCTGTTTGAGGTGAGAACACAGGAGGATGCACACGAAGGCTATAGAATCTAGCGAACGTGTTGGGGGTCGCCCAGCCCGCAGCTCTAAAAATATCTGTCAGCGAGGCGCCTCGAGTCAGCGCCCAGGAGGATGCAACACTCCTAGTAGAGTGAGCTCGCAACCTGAGCGGGCAGGGCACACCCTGAGACGGCATTCGGTCTCCATAACAGACAAAGAGCTGGTCTGAGGTCCTAAAGCTTTGTGTCCAGTCTACGTAGCATCTCAAGTCTTGGACGGGACAAGAGCAAAGCTAGGGCTGGGTCTACCTCCTCTGGGGACAGCACTTGCAGGCTCAACACCTGATCCCTGAAGGGAGAAGTGGGAACCTTGGGCACATAGCCGGGGCCTCAGGATTACCTGGGAGTCAGCCAGCACAAACTCTAGGCACGAATCGTCAACCAAAAATGCGTGCAGGTCCCCTACCCTCTTGATGGAGGCCAGTGCAAGCAGGAGCAGACTTTTCATTGAAAGAAACTTTAGCTCGACTGACTGCAAAGGCTCAAATGCATCAGAGACACTAGAGCACTAGAGACAGTTCCCAAGAGGGTATAGAGGAGGGTTGAGGAGGATTTAACCTTCTCGCCCCCTTAAGGAACCTGATGACCAGATCATGCTTTCCTATCGACTTCCCTTCCACGGGGTCATGGTTAGCAGCAATCACAGCGACATTGACTTTAAGGGTGGAGGCAGAGAGCCTTCGCTCCATCCCTTGCTGCAAAAAGGAAAGCACAACCCCGATCGGGCATCTCCGGGGGTCTTCCCGACAAGAAGAACACCACTCGATGAACAGGTTCCACTTAAAGGCGTAAGCGTGTCTCGTAGACGGTGCTCTCGCCGAAGGGATGGTGTCAACTACCTCTTGGGGTAGGTCAACTAGGACCTCCGCATCCTGTCCAGGGACCTGACATGAAGTTTCTAGAGGTCTAGATGCGGGTGCCACAGGGTGCCCCGTCTCTGAGTCAGTAGATTCTTCCTCAGAGGAATCTGCCAGGGAGGGGCTGTCCCGAGGATCATTAGTTCGGGGAACCAGGTCTGAGTGGGCCAATACAGCGCCACAAGCAGGACCTGCTCCTCGTCCTCCCTGACCTTGCACAGCGTCTGTGCGAGAAGGCTCACTGGGGGAAATGCATACTTGTGCAGGCCCCGCAGCCACCTGTGTGCTAGTGCGTCCATGCCGAGTGTTCCCTCGGTCAGGGAGTAGAACAACTGGCAATGAGAGGTTTCTGGAGAGGCAAACAGGTCTACATGAGCGGCTCCGAAACGACTCCAAAACAGCTGTACCATCTGGGGATGGAGTCTCCATTCTCCCAGGAGTGTAGCTCGTGACAGCTCATTGGCCGTACAGTTGAGCAGACCCGGCATGTGAATGAACCTTCTGACTCCAAAGGAGCAGGTGGCGGGCGAGTTGCGACATGCAACGGGAGCACAGACCACCTTTTCGGTTGATGTATGCAACGGTCGCCGTGTTGTCCGTTCGGGCCGTTCAGACCAAGCACGTGCTTGCCTCATAAGCACCCTTTGAGACGATTCAATTGATATGCCAGTGCAGTTGGGGGCCCGTCCATACCCACGAAACTGCGTGCCCGTTGTACATGGCCCCCCAGCTGGTGGTGGAGGTATCCGTGTAAACCACAGCATGCCTGGAGACCTGTTCTAGGGGCACTCCTACCCGAAGGAACGTAAGGTCTGATCACGGGGTGAAGATTTGGTGACAGGCCAGTGTAACTTGG